TTTTTTTTTTTTTTTTTTTTAAGTTTCCTTGATTTTTCCTTCGGGCTTCCTTTCCTGGTCCCGATTCTCTTTCAAGTTTCAATTTTGAGATCTACTTCAACCCAACATTCATCATCATCATCACCGAACAACAAAATCAAGATGCTGACGACGAAGGAGAGGTGGTGAGCTACCGACGGAGGAGAGGTGGTGAGCTGCCGACGGAGGTGCAGGGAGATCGGGCTACTTTGTTGCTTCTGTTCAGCAGAGGAGATGAGGCGGTGATTGGTCTGGTGAGATGCTGACGAGAGTGAAGTAGGGAGATTAGGCTGCTTTGCCGAAGGTGATGAGGCGATGACTAGTGTGGTGAGATGCCGATGAAGTCACGGAGATGGAGCAGGGATGAGGGAGAGGGATGGCCGATGCGATGCCGATGATGTCTTTCTACATTTTAATTCTTTTTTTCCTGGTGTTTTTAAATAATAGTACTTTTGATTATGGTTTTAAGATTTAGTTTTAGTTTAAATTTAAGGTTTTTAATGTAATATGTTAAAAAGATGAGATAAAATAGGTAAATTACATTAAAAAAAAAGAAAAAGTGAATAAAAGGGATGATAGGTTTTTGCCCGACAGGTGGAACGCGCTGGGCGTTTGAAGCAGGTCTAGCGGGTCTGGCGGGCTTGGACGGATCAACTTGTAAAACGGGCTAATACATGAAACCGACCCGTTTTTAAGCCTGGGTCCGGTTAAACTGGTTCAACCAGTCGGTCCGGGTCGGGTCTTAAAACACTGATAGAAACGTCCCAAGAAGGCTGGAACAAATTTCCTCCAAGAGCTCATTGCCCATTGTCTTTGGTGGTGAATTAACTCAGAGAAATGGCCTAAAATGAACATAAAAGGTCAGGGTTATGATTGGGCTGGTAAGAAAACCTTTGTTCGGGTATTTGCCCAAAAGCTTTATGGGCTTAAGCCTTTTTTCTTAACTTGTCCAGATTACCAAATTGGCTAGTCTCGTGTTGGTTCTAAGGCTTTTATACAGTATTGGATAACATTAATCTTTTTATCATATCCATTCTTGCCTGTCCGTTTCAACTTTCCAAGGTTTAAACATGATAATATATTTTAATAGTTTAAATAATTTAATAGTAATTTTTTTTAATAAAAATAAAAAATTTTAAATTTATGTTGTATAGTTTGCAGATCACATGGGTTAAAGGCTATAAAAGAACTGCTTTTTATTTTGTAACTCAAGATAAAAGAAAAACATTATATGATACATTTGACTCTTAACAGTAAAAACATAACCTAAAAATTTTTTAATATAAACACTTTAAATGATAAAATCAAAATAGTATTTCACTCTAATATTTTTGGAATTTATAAGAGAAACAAGTGCTTATAAAAGTAAGTTAAAGAATGAATTATGCCAAACTAACCCTTAGTATTTAACTATTACAAAGTCTTGATATAGTTTTGTTAGAACTTAAATATTTTAATAAAAAATAAAATAATATATTTTATAAATTGAATTTATTATCTCATTAAAGACTTGATCAAACTAACCGTTGAAGGTTAGTTGTCCTATTTAAGAACACATTATTTCATAATAATTGCCCAATTTATTCCTATCATTAATCTACAAATGGGAATTACAAGACCATGAATCCTATAAATAGGATATGTCTTTTGCTCAAAAATGGGTTTTCTACACATTCCTCTATTCTTTCGTACCTCACTTTATTTTCTAAAAATATTTTTGGGTAAAGAAGGGTGTTTTGAGTAATGTGACTTTATGAGTAGTGTAGATCCACAGAATGTTATTATAAAACTGTAGTATTCTGGGGGCGACATACTTTATGTATTTTTGCTGCACCAGTTGATCTACTCTCCGCAGAAACGTGAATCGCCTTAAAGTAAGTTTTTCACACCTATTTAGATAATATTTTCTTATCAATATTTCTTGATAAGTTTACTAATTATTATTTTATTTGATCTTGTGACCGAAACACAACAATGACATGATGTGGAGATGAAGGAGAGTGTTCGAGGAATAACAATTTTAAGGCGCTTCAACATGGAAAACAAAATTGAAACATGTGCTACTTTATGTAAGCAAAATAAAAAATTTTGATTTTTTGGGATATATATGCTCCAAGCAGGTACGAATCGAATTCTTTAGTTTTGCTGAAAATACATGCAAGCATGCCTAGCAATCTATAAGGTTTATGTTGCTAGTTGATGATAGTGATTAATGTCATACTTCTTCTTGCATGGTATTACAAATACTCAACGGCTAAAAAAAAAAATGTTAATGCATTCTCCATGCAATTTAACATCTCCTATACATACATTCATATATATATATATATGTGTGTGTGTGTGTGTGTGTGTGATTAATTTGGCTTAAAGACATACATAGGCAGTTTATTTGTCATGATGATTATTCATTTATATGCAATAGTGATTTATTACTTAATCATTTTATATGAATGGTTATGGACCATGTTAGATTAATTGATAGATGCATGCATATTAATGTGGGAGTTTTCCCATAATATCGAGTATTATGATACTAGCCATTTGAATTAAATGTGATCATGGGTAGAGCATATATTTTAACATGAAATTATGGATATAAAAGCTCTACTAATTAGAAGTGCTTTTTATTGTGTCATTTATGAGTTTTAATATGCTCCATTGATATATAATTAATTGGTTCTTATTATTTTTCAGTGAAAAAAAAAAGGTAAATAAATATGTGTATTTAATTGACCATGTTATCGAGTTTTTTGGTGAAACAAGTGAAAATTTTGAGAATCAGAAAGCCACCCAATTTGGTCCATCCAATTTTTTTTTGGTAAAAAATGGACATGAAATTTGGGTCAGTTTATTCCGAAAATGTAAGCTAAATTTTTAAGCTTGCATAATCAAGAGCCATTTACGGCGATAAAAAGTGAAATGAGCAAATATGCTCTTATAAAAATCTTGTGAGCAAAATGAGTTTCTTCATGAACTCAATTATTTGAAAAATGTGATAATCACATATTTGAGATGCTCCTAATGTGGGGGATTGTGATATCCCTATATATTATTATTGGTGATGAGACCAATGATGCCTAATTGAGATTTTACATAGCATTCCTATTATACAATAAGGCGTAATGGTGCTTAGCAAAATAAATGTGATATGCATTCCTATTATACAATTATGCTATAATAGTGTATGATGAAAAAATAATAAGGCACTTGAGAAAAGGGGTATGTGATGGACATTCCTATTGTACAATAAGGTACAATGGTGTTTGAGTTAAAAATTCTTAAATACATGTTTTGACATGTATGTAAAGAAAATGGTGGTTCACTAGTTCAATTTGATATAAAAAAAAAAAATTGTGGTACCATGAATTGAAAATTTGAGAAAAATGAATGTGAATTTTATGAGCTAGTAGACATGTGGGTTGATGTGAAAATGTGAGAAAAAGAATGAGTTGAATCTCTTTTAACCCACTATACCACCAACTAGGCCTTTGGCAAAAACAAAAGTTGGAGGAAAATCTATGATCATAGTCCAAGGTCTAGTGCTCATCAAGGGGAATGGGATTCAAGCCCAATAATGTTGAACTTTCTATGAGGATACCCAACCTGAATTCTAAGAATTGGGTTTCAAATGGGAAAAATGAATCATAGAGAAGTCATTGTTGAAAGATGCATCAATATTTAACGAAAAAAATTTTTCGGTCCCATTCCTAAAGTTAGGATGCATCTATTCCATAACGAATTGAGGGTTGAGTTTTATACTCTTAATGAAATTTGTAGCTCATAGAGTGGGGTGTCTTAATTACGGGAGCACCCTTGACTAATTTCACCTATGTGGGTGTTGAAGTAAGGCCGTTTCTATGAAAATTGGATGGGTAATTTTCTAGATCACCCATGAAAATCGAGATCATGTGCAAGGCCATAATACGCCAGCTGTGTGAAAAAAAACTCAACATTCGGATCATTATGTGTGTGATACAATTCTTGTATCTTTCAATTGAGTCATAGTTCAAGACTTAGTTCACTATTGACTTTGGATTAAGAATTATTGACTCACTAAGTAAAGGTTCAAGGCTTAGCTACTTTTATTATGCATAATAATCCATCTTTGCTCAAAGAAGGTTTATTTTTATTAAAATAGTGGGGGAATTGTTGGAACTTAAATATTTTAATAAAAATAAAATAATATATTTTATAAATTGAATTTATTGTCCCATTAAGGATTTCGTCAAACTAACCATTGGAGGTTAATTGTCATATTTAAGGGCACATTATTTCATAATAATTGTCCAATTTATTCATATCATTAATCTACAAATGAGGGTTACAAGACCATGAGTCCTATAAATAGGACATGTCTTTTTCTCAAAAATGGGTTTTCTACACATTCCCCTGTTCTTTCTTACCTCACTTTATTTTCTAAATATTTTTAGGTGAAGAATGATGTTTTGAGTAAGGTGACTCTATGGGTAGTGCATATCCATAACATGTTATTATAAAGCTGTAGTATTCTGGGGGTGACATGCTTAATGTATCTCTGCTGCACCGGTTGATCTACTATTTGTAGAGACGTAAATCGCCTTAAAGTAAGTAAACTTTTCATGCCTCTTTAGATGATATTTTCTTATCAATATTTCTTGATAAGTTCACTAATCATTATTTTATTTGATCTTATGACTGAAGCACAACAATAACATGATGTGAAGATGGAGGAAAGTGTTCGAGGAACAACAGTTTTTATCTTCTTGTTATTATCTTCTTGTTAGAAATGAGC